CGGTGAGGGGTAGAGAAGCGCGCTGGGAGCGGGGCAGGAGGGGTTACGGGTTTTGTTGCCGCGTTAGGAGCAGGGGAGGATGGTGGTTGAAATGTCCCGTGCGAGGTGGGTCTGAGGCTGCCCCCCTGCATAGACTCTAGGTGCTCGGGGTGACCCTGCGACAGAGACTGGCCAGGGACAAACGCTTCTTGGTCGGGGCCGGGGTGAAGAGATGAGGAAAGAAGGTCCGGAGCTCGGGTTGTGGGCGGTGCCCAGGGGACCTCGGGTTATTTGTCCAGTGCCCGCCCCCCCAGCAGGGTCCTGCAGCGCCCACTGGAGCTGGAAGGGGTCCAGGAGCAGGAGTGGGCATGGGCAGTTGTCCCAAGAAGGGCCACGTGCTTGGGGAGAGCCTTCTGCATGCCCCACCCCCCTCAGCAGGCCGGCTGGGGTCCAGAGCTGAGAAGAAGGGAGGGGTAGGGATGCAGCCCCCTAACTGCTTTTCCAGACCTGGGCCTCTCCCTCGTGTTTTGGAGGCCAGGGTGCCTAGAACTGGCCACAGAGCTGCATTCCAGCACCGTCCTGGGAGGCCAGGGTGGCTAATTGCCTACACCGAATTGCCGAGAGTGTTCTAGGGGCGGCAGGATTTGTTGGTGCAGAGCATCTGGGATGTGGCTTTAAAGGCAAATTGAGCAGGTGGTCTGCGTACTCCTGTGTGAGCTGCAGCAGCTTCTGGAGAGATGGGCTTGGTGTGGCGCCATCTTCCCTCTGCAGCCTCCTTGGGAGGGCTCTAGGGCCCCCAGTCAGGAGCGGCTGCCAGGCTGGGCCCGCACAGATGAGGTCTGCATCCAGCATTGGTGATGGGGATCCCTGTTGGGGTGGGGTCCTGGGCTAAAGCACTGGGTCTGCAGAGCCGGTGGGGGGCCTGCTGGGTGGGAACGCCATCAGGAGGCTGCTTGTGCCCTTAGGAGGGCTGGGAACTGCGGCTGTGTCAGCAGGTGGCAGGAGGTGTGAGGCTTAAAGGTGTTTAAGCCATAGGCTGATGGGACTTGCTGAGGAGGAGCCGAAATCTGGGGTGCCCCCGGAGGTCTGAGTATGGGGGGAAAAAGGTGGATACGTGGTCTGCCATCCAGCAAGAGAAGGAACCGCTGGGGGGCGGGTAGGAGAGTGCGGGTGTTTTAACCCGGGGAGGGCGGCTGGGGGTTTGGAAACTTGGGACCTAGGGGCCGGGCCTAGGGAGGGGCTCTAAAGAGACTGGGGATGGGGGAGCAAACCTGCCACGAAAGAGCTCCCCTCTTCCTCCCAAAAAACCTGGGATCACGAGAGGGGGAGGTGTCCCAAAGGCTGAGGGAAGGGAGAGTTCTAGAAGGATGTCGTCTGCTGTTGGAAAAGCAGCAACAGACCGAGGAAGAAAGGAGGGGCCGTCACTGGCCAGATGGGGGAGAAGCCTCAGTGCAGATGGGAGGGGTCAGTGGGAAGAGGGCACAGGCTGATGCCTCCCAGTGGGGAGGGGAAAGGGCGGGGGGGGGCGGTGACCGGAGGGTTGGACTGGGCAGCTCTAAGATGGACGGGATACCAGCCATGCCCTCCTGCCTGGCCCGAGTGCCCCCCTTTCTCCAGGTGTTTAGCCGAGAAGAGGTGAGGGTTTGGGGGTGGAGGTCTGAAATGACTAGAGGGTGATTTTATCAGTCTGCCTTGCACACTTCCAGGGTCAGGGAGCTCACCTCCTCTCTGGCAGGCCCCACCCCCCTCCAACCGTTTGGCTTAGATCAGGGTACAGACTTGCTTTTGGGGAAGGTGCCCTGCAGAGCCCACCTCTGCCCGGCTGATGTCCAGGACCGACAGATGACCTGCGGGCCCAGGCCGAGCTGGGCCAGGGCCTTGACCACCGACTAGCAGCGGCCACCGTGTCTGCCCTGCCGTGGGCTCGGGGAGCCTCAGCCCAGCCTGCCCGGGGCCTCAGGCCGGCGCCCGGGCTCTGGCTCCGTGTCTTCACTCCCGTGTGTGTCCGAGGAGGGAGGGAGGGACGGGGGCTGTGCTGGGGCGGCCGGAACAGCGCAGGTCACCGGGCTGGCTGGACGAGGTGGCCAGGCAGGGCTGAGGGGGCACCGCAGGGAGGCGGCGGGGGAGGGGCGGGGAGGCCAAGGGCGAAGGGGAGCTGTGAGCGATGGGTGGGCCCGACACTGCCAAGGAGCCTGCCTGAGAAAAGGGAGTCCTGGGTGTTTTGTCCTCGCCTCTCTGCAGGAATGGAAGGTTCGGGAGGGAGGGCAGCCAGCCGGGGAGGCCGCCGGCCCCTGTGGCCCGCAGGTGCTTGCACCTCGACAGCCTGTACCCTCCTGCCTCTCCTGCCTGCCCGCCGCTGCCCCGTGACCCATCCAGCCCGGGCTGGGTGCCTGTCACAGCTGAGCCTAGGCTGGCACTTGGAAGCCCCAGGCTGGCACCTGCAGCCACTCCCAGCCCCAGGGCACGTCCCCAGTTCAGCCCCCGACCCCCAGCCCGGCACCACCACGGTCCGCTGGTCCCAAGCAGCAGGGGAGGGTCCTCGCCAAGGGTGCTCTCCTGGCCCCTGCCGTTGGAGGGGAGGCCAGGGGGAGGGCGGTCGGGGCCCAGGCCCCTCCTGGCTGGGTGCACACGGCCCTATTGCACAGCCTCCACCATCAGGGAGACAGGTCCACTGTCTGCCGGGCTCTGCCAGCTGGGACGCCAGGTGGGGGACCCTCGTCCTGCTCTGTGAGCTGCCCCCTGCTGGCGATGGTCCAGGGCCACGGGTCAGCGTCAGCAAGGGCAGCTGAGAGGAAGAATTGTCTCTGGGGACTCCTCGGGTGCCAGCCCCCACCCCCTGCCTGGAGGTGCCCGCCCACCCCACCCCCCGAAGGAAGGAGGGCAGGGATGGGGGTGCTTACTCTCTGCCGGGCCCTGGGGAGCCGGGCTCTGTCCCTCCACCCCAGCTGGTTCCCGTGAGGCCCGCACGTGGCCAGAAAGGCCTGACTCAACCCGGGGCAGCGGGCAGGTCCCAGACCCCTGACTCCCCACCCCGTGGGCCTGGGTCTAGGCACACGAGCTCCGACATCTACCCCACAGTCAGCCCTGTTCCAGGGTGGAGGCCACAGCGCCCCTTAGACAGCAGGCGCTGGGAGCAGGGTTGGGGGCCCCGGGGACGGGGACGAGGCGGCTGGGGGCAGGTTTGTGAGTGAAAAGGGGGAGGGAGCTGCGCTTCCTGCCTCTGCCCCCCCC